ATAACCAGTTTCCTTTTTTGAGTCATATGCCCAGTAATCAACAACTCGGCGAACAATAACCTCTGCCTCAACCAGCAGAGTGTCATTCACAAGAAAACCTCTTGTAGGATCATAGAGTTCACCAAGGGGCATGAAGGATGTGAAACCCCAGTCACTTTCTCGTGCATTGAACTGGTGTTGTGTGTCTGCAAAATGCAAGTAGGATAAAGTACATACAAAATAGAAAGAAAACCCAACATCATACACAATAGGAACTGGTGTTCTATGTAGCAAACAGATAATGTATTAAAACTGTACCTTTTCTTGCAGAATATTTGTTATGAACTTGATTAACTACTGCCAAGCTAAATTGTGCATATCTACTCCAACCATAAGGTAAAGTTGTTGAGTCTGCAACATCCAGATACATCGACAAATGATCCACATTGTTTCCCTTTGGAAAAGTCAGTATACGCCTAAGCAATGCAAGGTAAACAAAAATGAAAATCCATTTACCAGTGATCAAGCCATATAACCAAAAACAATGTAACAGCATCAGTAGCAAGAAGAGATTGGCAATACCACTTATAACCACCGACAATGAAAATATCTGAATAGTGTTTCTTTGTATTCAACCTAGAAAAGTTCTCGATTCTCCATGTGAATCTCAAAGAGGATGGATCTTCCACTGGCTGATTCTCCACAGTATTAGCAGTTTCAGGTTGTGCTACAACTATCAAGATAGAGCAAAACAATTTACAAAAAAGCAATTAGAACTAGCAATGTTTCTTACTTAACATAACGGACTCCTCATCTTCACTGTCTGAAAATAAATAAATAAATGAAGGAAACACACTACAGAAAAACAGAATACTAAACTACACTAACTCATGAAACATCTAAAGCTCACAAAACCAGTTTTCTCCTCCATGATGAATTTTCCGATCAACCAAACAGCTTAAAATAGTAAAATTATTCAATACTTGATTCAATCTTAACAAATCCACTGTGACGCCAATACAAATCCAGCATTTGGACTTACAGCATGGGATGAAACAAGCCAAGAGAAAAATACCTTCCATAGACTGGTGATTGTCGGTCAAATCAGAGTGTGGAACCAGCATTTCCTCGTCCTCTTGCTGCTGAAATTCTCAAAAAGATATAAAAATCAAATTAAAGGGAAAACGAAACACCTACATCACAACAAGCTGGATCAATACTATAATTAAACTTTCAAATTCAACAGAAACACTAAACTCCTAGCTAAATCAGCCACATCGTTTCTGATTACAGGTGATTGAATCCTAAACCCCGTACCCCATGTATCAAACGCAATGCCCCAGAGAACCCCAAACGGAAAAATTGAAACAAATCCCAATTGCACCCAAAATAATAAAAAAACGAACTGTCCCCATGCGCATAGACAAAAACACGGATGCATGGAGTGAAGAGTGACGGATTTGGAGACACACATCGATGGGGGCAGCGGCCATGACAGTCATGGTGCGAATTTGTACTGGTTTGCTCGTTGCTCGTAAATCGAAGAAAAGGGAAAAGAAAATGTAAAGGGAAATTTATACAGTGAAGAGGGAGAAGGAGAAGGAGAAAAGAGGGAGGATGAGGAGGAGACGCCGAGACGGAGGTCGGAGAAAAGGCGCAAAAGACGTCACCAGAAGGTGGTCGAGGAGGGAGAGAGGTCTAGCTTCGGTCTTTATGTGCCCGATGGGTAATAACGTAATTACACCTTTTTTGGAAATATTTTTATTAATACAAGCGAGAAAAGTATTTTTAAATTTCTATTTTGTATTTTTTTTTTAACAAATTTGCAGAATTAAATTCGAATCATTGCCGGAAGAGAAAAAATACACTTATATATGATTTAATATCACTTGTTAAAAATCCAAGTGCTATTTTGTATCTTTACTTGTAAAATAAAACAAAAATGATATCAACAATTTATTAGTTTGTATGAAAATAACTTCATTTTCCTTATTTTAAGTTTGAGAGTGAGCTTCTTTCTAATATCAAAAAAATTTAAATGAGATTATTTATTTATTATGCATAATAAAATACACTTATAGATGCGTGGCTTGACTTGATAATTATTTTATTTGTATATTAAAATAAATAGTTAATTATTGAGTAAAAAAATTAAATAAATAAAAATAAACATATCTATTAGGTATAGAGTCAAAATACTTGGGATCAGGCATTTGGGTCCTATGGCTCAACAGTTAAGTGGTTATAAATCGATTTGTAAGGTGCATCCCTTAGTCTTTGAGTTAAGGTTCGATTTCCCTCGTTCCAAAAAATTGTAACCTTGTTCAAAAAAAAAAAAAAAAAACTTGGTATCAGAACCTATACCTACTTATTTGCTTGACACGTTTATCTAATATACTACATATTTCCATATAAGTTTTCTAGTTGAATATAGTATGAATTATGTGATATGTATTTTGTATTATGTATTATATATCTATTGACTTAATTAGTATGTACTTTGTAATATGTTTAAGTTCAATTTAATTTGTATTAAAAAAATTGAACTCAATGATATAAAAAACTTGGAACAGTAATTGTTTTTTGTTAAGTGTGTTTTAATTTGTTTTGAAGATTTTAGTATTCAAATAAGTACTAAGTATCATTTTTTTTTTTTTGAATGGAAGAAAATTAATACATATTAAGTAAATGGGGATTGGAGAAAAAGATACATGGGGCTTAAATACACAATTTATAGAAAATAATCCACATTAATCCAAAATCAAAATCATTAGACCGAAGCGTGGGATTACAAAGGGTCAAAAATTTTAAACCATAAATATTGAAGTCTAGTATAAATATAAACAAATCCATTTACCAACTTCCTCCCTATTGCATAAAGTGGGTTGGATTAGATTGAGTCAGTCATTTTGTGTTATAATCTCATTTGTTATACCAATTACTAGAATATTGTCAAGTATAGGAGTCTGCTATGTGAGTTAAAACTAACACATAGGTTAACTTGCCATTTTTCTTTTCTAAAAATTGATTTTAATGTTATATGTTAACTATCTTATATTTTTTTCAATTTCTTTTATTATTTTTATTTTTAACTTATTACTAATTACAACTTAATAATTAATAATAACTAATTAACTATGATACTGCCACTTATTTAAG